TGGTAAGGCTAACCACACCTTGTCGTGCATCTACAGATGCATCACGAGCAGGTCCAGAGAGGTGATCCTTCCCCTCTTTGCGGCATTGGTCAGGCCACAGTTGGAGTACTGCATCCAGTTTTGGGTGCCGCAGTTCAAGAGGGATGTAGCTAACCTTGAGAAGGTCCAGAGGAGGGCCACTCATATGGTCAGGGGGCTGCAGGCCAGGCCCTATGAAGATAGGCTAAAGGGCCTGAATCTAGTCAGCTTCCACAAGAGAAGACTGAGAGGGGATCTGGTGGCCATCTATAAACTCACCAGAGGGGCCCAGCAGAAAATAGGTGAGGCTCTGTTCCTCCGGGCACCACCTGGGATAACAAGGAATAATGGCCACAAATTGATTGAGAGCAGGTTCAGGCTTGATATTGGGAGGCATTACATTATGTTTAGGGCTGCCAGGCTCTGGAATAGGTTCCCAAGGGAGGTGGTGCTCTCCCCTACCTTGGGGATCTTCAAGAGGAGGTTGGATAGATATCTGGCTGGGGTATTATGATCCCAGCACTCGTTCCTGTCCAGGGCAGAGGGTCAGACTTGATGATCTGTTCAGGTCCCTTCCGACCTTAGAAACTATGAAGCTATCTGCCCACCTAAATCAAGTGTTTGATAGTCATTTAACCCTCCTGCTGGGAGACATGCGTCATAATGGCTGGGACAGGTCAATTGGGTAAGGGTAAGATACCTTAAATAAAACAATTATTGATTTATTGGCTCTCAGGTTTTAGAAATGGTGCCACATAAACCTAAAGAACACAATCAGTTGAAGGAAGAAACTCCTACTGTAAATATAAGTTGCAGTGCAATTAGATTTTTCCCTCACCCCTGTCACTGCATCAGAGATCATTTGCAACATTATTTGTCTTGCTAGTGACTACCTCTGTAATACTGTAACACACTGAAGCATAAGACTGCCCGTTTCAGCCATGAAGGGACACTAAGGTGGCCCGAAGAATGTCTATAATTTATTTTCTTTGTTTAGAGACACCTGTTTTCAGGAAAAAAAGAAGTAGGAAAATCCTTTAACTCGGATGCTTTCAAAAATATATAGTTGTCATTTGACCAAGTGACTCCCTAATTCTAGCAGTTTTTCTAGCACCGTGAACACGAGAGATTCTAAGAAAACCACCTGATTGTGCGCTGCAGAAAATGAGGTCATGAAGAGCTCTGATTGGCTGAAATCTTGACCATGCTGAAGTCAATAGCACAATGCCCATTGATTTTGATGGGCCAGGATTTCAGCCATTATATTTATATTAAAGATATGTTTAACACTGAATGAAGTCCTCTTCAAGAACAACTTAGTCTGTAGGACGGTTAGCTCAGAAAAGGCATCAGAGGAAGCCACTGGGAAAGACAAACTGGACACAATCTTAAGGGTAGCTGAGCAGCAGAACCAATCACTATGCACAATTTTCTTAGAGATGGTCCCCCAAAGAAAAGATCCATTTGCGGTCATAGATGAAAAGCACATAAGTTCATAGACCCCTTGCTACCTTTCAGAGAGTTTGGTAAGTTGGAGAACATAACCAGGAAAAGCAGCCAATGTCAATTATCATACCAGCACAAGAAAATAATTACCTGGTAATTTATTTCCCATAAAATAGAACGAGTTAAAGTTGATATTCTAATACTTTTGAGGATAATGTTAAAATCAATCCTTATAACTTCACTAATATTCAGATTTATTTCCTTGTTTAATAGGCCAGAATGGTGTGCTGTGAGCCTATCAAACTAGAAATATTAGATGACTGTATATAATGAATGAGCCCGTCACTAGACTAGAAACTCTTACAAAGGCTGACCCATGTTGAGAGCACAGCCATCTGCACTGATCTATACTAGGGATGTACAACATAGATTACTATCTATGCCTCTAAAATGGACACCTAATTACTATATTAGGCGTAAAGAAAATTCTTAATGACAGGGCAATTCTCTGCCAGTTTAACTAACAATGTGACCCGGAGTTAAGCCATTTCTTTATATGTCCAGGTACAAAGAGAACTAGATTTAGTAAGGTATAAGAAACATAATACCTTGTGCTTACGGAGGCTCCCTGGACTGGTTGGCGTGGAGATTGGAGACTGCTTGGATTTGGGTGTAGAGAGCTGACTGCTTGATGTACCATTTGCTGTCACAAAAGAAAACAGAATCCAGCAATGAATTTACAAGCAAAATCACCAGACAGATTATTTCTCGCTTTCCCGGAGACAGAAAACATCCAGACAGTCAACATCAGAAGGTTCCAGCTTATTTCTTCATTTATCCAGAAGAAAAATAATCAAAAGAACAAAATAATTATTCACCAGGCTTAATGTTTCAGCCATTTCAAATACTGGCCATTACCATAAGAGGGGCGAAATATTTGATTTTACAAACAATTACAGGTATGAATCTGTTTAACAATCCATTACAAAATGAACATTTCAGGGCTTCAAGTGCCCTTAGACAATTTAAATCATCCAGTCCTTACTACTGTTAAAGAAAATCAAAGTCTTTAAATAGTCTAGATCCTTAAATGTGACAAATTATCTTCTGAGTTGATATATTAGCTTGGACTGTGCTGAGTGCTGATGCCCTTTGAGGTACTAGTCATTGTAAAGGTAATGGGCAAGGATGTAGCTGAGGCCATTTCACCACTGCCCTGTGAAGCTGGCAAGGAGTGAAAATTCCCTCCTCTTAAAGGCAGTGAATGTACAGGGCAGCTCTGCTTTTCATCTGGGCTTCAAAGCTCCAAATTGGCCTTCTGGGTTCTTTTAACCATAAAAAAAGAATTCAACTTTTTAAATAATTTAAAATATGGTTCATTTAAACCAAACCTCTGAACAAAATGGTCACATAGCCCATTAGCAGCTGGATTTTAATCAAAGTGAAGTAGCCCAGACCTATGCCAGAAACAGTTGCTATGGACAGACCTATTGGGCTAAAAAAAAAAGAAAGCAGCAAATTACAGGAAAAACCAAATAGAAAAGCATTAAGGGAAAAGTAAACTCTTGCTGTCAATGATGCTCTTTAAAATGCATAACAGTGCATGTTACCTGGTGTCACTTCAAATCTTTTATGAGGCCGTGCCATGTTATGTGATCTTGGCTTGGGTTGTACTAGATCCCATATGCTGCATATTCACTCTAGACACCAGACTTCTATTCAGATCTTTCTCACGTGGCTTTTAATGGAGTAACTCCGCTCCTCTATAATGGTCTGGAATTCAGAATGAGGCTGGCTACGTCTTAGTCTGTCACCACAGTAGGCCCTTCCCTTCCTGAAGCAGGCTAAAAGCTTTCATTACAAAAGTATAAAAATACTTTTGCCTGTCACCTTTACTGGAAGGGAGATTTCCCCAAACTATACAAGATGTTATTTATGCAATTCAGTTTACCCAAACTAAAACATAACTATTTTAATTGTCATTTTCTTAAGTGGCAATAAACACTGTTAACTCTCTTGAGAGCTGGACTGAAATGATTCCCTTTTTAAAGAAGTGTGATATGATTTTGAAGTTTTACAGAGAAGGGGGAAAAAGTAAAGTGATGGGGCTGGGTGACTCTCTTCTTTCAGTCTGCAGCTGCCTATGCATCCACTTACTGGAACTGCAGGTAGATGTACAATTAGGCCCATAGGATTTCTACATTCAGTCATAGTAATTGCAGGTCCAAATTGGGCACGTAGTTGGACATGTATTTGAACCCCTAAATGTTTGAAGACCTATAAAATTTATTAAGCATGCTACTGGGAACAGTGACAAGGATGTGGAGAGTGTGCAAGATAAGAGTTCATATAAGCGGTGCAAAGGTACCTTAAACTGGGAATAAATGCATTTCCATGCACTTTTAGGCCACTTTACATCATCAAAACCATGCAAGAAGCTTAATGCAAATAAGAATTGGAGCTCAACAGTCCTCACTGCTGTAAAGTCAACTGGAGTTTTGCTTGGTAGAAACTGGCAAGCAGTCTCCACTGTGTAACACTTAACTATGTCATAGTTCTGGGCCAGCTTAGTACGGATTGTGACCTAAATATGCAGGTATAGAGATCTTTTGACCTTAACATGATGTTTTACTCTCATACTCCATCACTCCATGGTTATTTCAGCTATGAGCAGAACTCTAAACCATGTTCAATTCCTATTCTGCTTTGTTTTTTTCTGAGTGACAACTGGCTGAAAACTCAGCAAGGCTCTCATGACTGAGCCCAGACTTTACTACGAATCTGGCCTCCTCCTGATGAATACTGCTATGCAGCACATGGCCCCAATCTAGCAAACATGTGTCATGCTTAGCTTCAAGCCCAGACATACTCCTGTTGATTTCAGGATCAGCTTGATAATGCACCCCCCAAAGTCCACAACAAAGCTTGGACTGATTTTGGTGGTGCAGGATCAGACCATATGGGCCTCAGTGCTCTGTGGTGAGGAGCACAGTGCTTAGTAGAGGTGGGCGAAACGGGCCGTATTTGATTCGGATTTGGCCCGAATTGGGGACAGTGATTTGATTCATTGATGCGGATCACTGTCCCTGATTCAATCAGGCCAAATCCGAATCTGAAGATTCGATGCTGATTCGGAGAATCAGTGATTCAGCCAGAGACACAGCTTTATATGTTTTTTCTACATACCTCAAGATACCAGGCACGGCTCGTGAACGCTGCGATGGTGGGGCGGATGGAGCGTTCTACAGGAGCACCGGGAGCCCCTTGCGTGCTTGGTGGCAAACCTGGGGTCTGTTGGGCAATGCTCTGGGGGCCACCCCCACCCTCCCCCAGCCTGGCAATCAGTTGCGGGGGCACCCTGGGTGCCCCCCCAGACCCAGGAGGCACCAGTCACTGAGCTGGGGAGCCATGGGGGGGTCCCCTGTGTGCTCCCCAGTGGACCTGGAAGTAGACAAGAAGTGCTTCTGGTCCACTTCTGGGTCTGCTGCCAAGAGCGCTGGGGAGCCCCCCATGCTCCTGTGGGACGCCCCATCCGCCCCAGTATTGGAGCATTCACAATCCGCCTGCTACCTTGAGGTATGTAGAAAAAACATATAAAGCTGTGTCTCTGGCTGAATCGCCGAATCTTTCTGAATCTCTCTGAATTGATTTGGAGGGTTCTGATTCAATTCAGAGAGATTAAAGGGTCTCCTGATTTGATTCACATTTGGAGGTTCAGCCACCGAATCGGGCTAAATTTCCGCCAAATCAAATCAGGAACCAAAGCTTCGCACAGCTCTAGTGCTTAGCTCCTTGCTGGGCTGAGCTATAAGCCCCTGTTTAAGAACAGCTATGGTTTTTTTCTAATTGTTAATCAGAATGTGGCCCTTTATCTGCATTTCCATTTGTGGGACAATCCCAGGACTGTACCTCTAGTACTTTGAGCCTCCATCACTCCTTTCTCTATCCATGTCTTTATCTTGCAGTATTATCTAAAGAACAGTTTCCCTTTCATTCATTTTAAGGAGTTACTGAAATGGCCTGTTTGTGCGTAGCTCCATGTTAAGACTGGAAGTTCATTCTCTCTAATGTGGTTTTGTGTTTAGCCATTAAATATAATTGCAGTTTAATACACTGTTACATTTTACCAATTAGCATTTTATAATTGCAGATTAAAAAAAAATATTAAAGCCACAGAACCTACCTGTGGCAGAGAGATTCACAAGGATATGCATCTCCTATGTTCCTCATTAAAGCTGAAGGCCTGAAATACCTCTCCACTATGTGGTGAATGATCTACATTAGGTTACGTTACATTGGGATGCAGAAAAGCCCTCAAATACAGGTAGCAATAAAAGGACTGGATGAGCCGTGGCTGTAGGTACAAAGGGGAGAAGTTCCTGCCTCCTTCTCACTGGTGCCACTACACACAGGCCTGGTCAGTGCAGGCAATTCTTTCATCTTGAATTTCTTAACACTGTACTCTTAAGGCCCCTGGCACACGTTATGCTGAAGACATGATTAATCCGTTAAGCACCTCTTTGGTTGTTATCTGGCCACACATTAATTCAATTAATGGCATGATAAAACAAAGAGCAACACAACAAATAACAACTTTGTGGCTGGTTCCCATGAAATCATTAATTGAATGTGTGGCCAGGCTGGTGCTCCCAGCCATAGGGTGTGCCCTAGTGGCTAGGAGCCCCATCAGCTGGGGGCTCCCAGCCACAGGAGATGCTTTTGTGCCCCTGGATCTGGGAGCCCCGATCCCATGAGCCTGTCCTCCTGCCATGAACGTGTGGCATAGCAGAAAGCACAATTGTGGGGATCCTCCAGACTCTCATCACACCGTCACTTGTATGTCTGCTAGGGACCTAAAATCCCATTTCTGCTCTAGTTTTTGCAAAGCTGTGACAGCTTGTGGATTATTCTATGGGATATGAAGTACCTGGCAAATCCCTGCTCTACCTCATTCAGATGACAAATATGAACCTCAGTGTCCCACATCCTAATGACTCCCTAACTACCAAGAGGGACTTGACAATTTCCAGTCTCTCCTGTTGAAACTCCGCTTTTTGTCTAAGCCATTTGAATACTTAAGTATTCTTTGAAGTGGGCACTTGAATCTGTATTTACAGCATCTCAGGTGTGTGAGTAATCTGAGCTAGGAAGGTCTTTTCCTTATCTCTTTCTTTAGTCAGCAGTCCAAACTGGAGTTGATAAACTATTCCCGTTACAGTTCTGAAGGATTGACATTTACCAACGAAAAATTATACGTCCAAAAAAAAAAAAAAATCTGTCCTGTCCGCAGTCCAGAACTTTCTTTTTAAATTCAGTGCTTTCTGGTCAGGTTTGCATTGCGTTCCTACATAGTCTCCATCCTAACAATCCTTTTCTTAGTCCCCCCAGTCTTGACCCCTAATCACCTATTGACCCAGTGCTTTCATTTCTAGGATGGCCTCATTTATTTTGTCTACCATCTACACTTCCTCCAAGATGCTTTTAAATTCCAGTTCTTGCTACTGTCTTTGGACCAAAATTAGAAAGGATGGCAATTACACACTGGCACACAAGTGCAAGTCTGAGGAAGTCTAAATTGATGCAAAACCCCTTGCATTGAGGACCGGAGGGTATATGCCAGATCCACTTAGACTTAGTGCACTCACTGTGATTCACCTCTACAGCTGTATAACCACGTCTACAGTTACTGATACTTAGCTAGGC